TGTTCGACGTGTGGGCGTGGCATTGACTCACCGCGGGTTCCGCGATTTGCGAGTTGCGCAGTCATTGTAAACCGTCGCAGCATGCGGTTTTTCATTTTTTTCCACGCGTTCACTTTTCAGTTTATTCCGATATCCGCAGTGTGAGGTGTGGGACTAATTAAAAACAATGACTTTTTGTCAACATGAAATCAATGTATTTTGTTTCTGAATATTATACTCATGTTTTTTTAACAGCTTCAAAGAAATCAATCGTAGAGCAAATCCCCGAGGTCCGATGACGATAGGTACGACCTTTCTTCACATCCCACATATGACTGAACTAGATATAAAAAATTATGCATTTATGACAAGGGGATTAAAGCAGAAAGTAATTAAATTACTTGTAAAAACTGCCAATTTACTAACTGCTACGGATTACTGCTGGGATAAAAAGCAGAAGTATAAATTAATTATCTTGATACAACTTTTTAATAATGTATCGAATCACATTTTACAATGAAATGAAACAATAATTATTACATTCGTATTACATTTTCGCAGAAAATAATGAAGTACATCTCAATCCTTAGACGTTCTGCACATAATACAAAGAGGAAACATTTCCTCAAGAATTGATCAAATAACAAACACGAAAATAAGAAATGACGCCAAAATTTTAGTTCTCTTACAGTAATTTATATCTCTTGTTTAACAATAATTACTTCCCGCAAATATGGAAAAATGCTGTAATATTACCAATCCGGAGAGCCTGGAAGTATATTATTTCATCTGTCAAAAATATTTGAAAAGTATTTCTAACCAGAATGAACAATTTTATCACAGACAATAAAATTATACCTAATATGCAATTTGCTTTTCCTAGCAATCATTCAACAACATATCAATTACTTGATCAATTTATTGATGTCATTTCTTTTAGTTATCAGCAATCTGTGCATATTCTTTCAATATTCCTAAATACAGAAACTTCTTTGATAGTATGGCGCAATGGCGTAATTTATAAAATGAGAAAATTTGCTTTCCATGTCTATAAGCAAAAGATTATTCAATTTTTTTGTCAGACCTTTTCAAATAAAATAATTTCTTATTTACCTTCTAAGCATCTTATTCTCGCTGGATTTTGTGGGGTGTTCCTCTTCTCTTAATCCATTAAATATTTTTGTTTCAGATATCCCTTATTTTGTTTATTCAGAAATTGCCTTCTTCGCGGAGGACACAACACTTTACACTTCGTTTAAAATTTACCATCCGGTCGGGATAATCTACAAAACAATTTAAACTTCCACTTGGTTTCAAAAGGGAAATGATAAAATAAATGACGCCAAATGCCGAGCTCATATATTTTCATTGAAACATATACATCCAACTTACCATTCAACATTGAATTCTAAAGCTATTCAATGGCTCCCATCCTCATCCTCAATTAAATAGTTAGGAATATTTATTTACACATTTAACATGGAAAAGCCATGTCAATAGAGCAAACAAAACACTCATTAGAATGTTAAAACTGTATTTCCTAATCGATAAAATTATCCTAGAAACTTCTCTCATAGTATAGGTGTTGTGGTAGGATATCTTTGGCATTTTTAAAATAATTAAAGATGTTGTCATTGCCAA